ATGAATAGACTTGCCATAGGCAGTGATGAATGAAGGAGGATATTCACTCTTCATGAGACAAGTCCACTTGAGCAAAGGTATAAAAGGGGATGGTGTGTTACGGGAAGAGCGAGTAATTTAGTATGACTGGGGGGCTGGGAGGTGAGTCTCATGAGAGATAAGCTTCAAAAAGCAGGTTGACAGCAATCTTGGAATGCCAAGCTAATGAGTTTGGGCTCTACTCTGGAGGTGCAGCACACTCAAATCAGTGTTTTGGGAAGATAACATGTAACCCCAGGAGGAATGGATGGGAAAAGAAAGGTCAGTTTGGAGGTGGCTGGAATTGTTCAGAGAAGAGATAATGCCCGGCATTACCTAGGAAGCACAAGCTGATATGGAAAGGAGGGGGTGGATTTGAGAGACATGACCAAGACTTAGTGATGTTCCGTTGTGTGTGTAGGATGGCTTAGGGGTTCCTAACTTGGGACACTGATAGAATGGGAGTACTATCCAGGAGGAGGAACATGGGGAAAAGATAAAGGGTTTGGGTTGGCTGTCGGATGTGTCTGTGGACTGACCAGGGTGTTGGAGAGGAAGCAGTGGCAACTGACAGAAATGTACAGATTTGGGGATCATCCATAAATGGCTGTTGAAAGTGTAAAGGCATTGATTGCACTTCCAGAGGCAGAGCAGTGTTTCTCAACCTTGGCAGTATTGACATTTGGTCTGCATATTCTTTGTCGTTGGGGGGATGGGTGAAGTGGGGGGAGGGGCTGTCCTTGGCATTGTAGGAAGTTTAGCATCTTTGGCCTCTACCCACTAGGTGCCAGTAGCACACCTCCGCCACCAGTTGTGTCAAACAAAAATATCTCCAGACATTGTCAAATATCCCCTGGAGGGCAAAATCAACCCCATAGAGAACGGTTGCTCTAGGAGAGAGTGCTTAGTCAGAAGATGGCCAAGGGCAGAACCTTTGGGTTCTAAGGTCACGGTCAGAAAGGAAGAGCACACTGGGAGAGATGGGGGTGACTGTGTCACAGATGGGGTGGCCAGTGGTGTTAACAGTCTATAAAGAGGGTTTTGGAGACAAAAGAGGCCTTGGCAGTGGGGAGAGCTTTATGATCTTTCAGGGAGCAATTCCAACTGAGCCTCCTGAACGTGCTTTCTTCTTGTTCGCTAGCCTTTTCCCAGAGAGGTACAGGAGTCAACTGCCCCCTTGGGCCATAAATGAGACTGGGATATATGCCAGTGTACCACAAAGTTGGCCTGGTTGCTTTGCAAGATGTTCATATTCCTTTCCCCCTATTTTCTCATTCCATTTGTTTTATTAGTCTCCTTTTTCATTTGTAATGTGCTTTAGCAGAAATATATACCCATACCATTTAATCCTGATAATAACCCCGCAAAATAGCTTTCATTCTTATTCCCATTTTGCAGATGAGGAAACCAAAACTCCCAGAGGGAAACTTGCCTAAGACAGCACAGACAGGGAGCCATAGAGCTGATGCCCAAATCTTCTGATCGCGCAGGGACTGAGAACACTCTTCGTCACACCCCGATTGCTTCTTTGGTCGCAACTCCTACCGTGTAGCATCTTTTCCTTACAAAGTGACTGACACTCCCCTTCTCCTGGGATAGAGCCTTCCTTGACTGTAAAGTAATCAGTGACTTTTTTTCTCTTGTTCCCTGACCACAGCACCATTTCTGCTCATAGCGTATTGTTTGGTGCCTTACTGAATGTCTCACCTTGTGAGGGTGTTATAGCCAGATGGTCTCTTTTCCTTCTTAATTTTCTCCTTTTATTGGCCACGCCTTGCGGCTTGTGGGATCTCCGTTCCCTGACCAGGGTTTGAACCTGGGCCACGGTCGTGAAAGCCCAGAATCCTAACCACTAGGTCAACAGGGAACTCCCAGATGGTCTTCTGACAAAGCGTAACACTGTAATGTTTGTACAGGTGAGGCCAAGCCTGCGGCAATTCTGTATGGTGAAGATGAGGACAGACAGGTCACAGGCCCAACTGTGGGCACTTCGGAATCTCCCTGATGGTTGCTGGGTCTAGGCCAAGGGTCATCTCCCTCAGGGACACCAGCGTATGTCCAAGGCTTGCAGTGGCATACCAGACCCCAGTAACTCCTCAGCTGTTGGAACTTTCCTTCCCTCCCTGGGAATCCTCTGTCATTTCCTCCTGCTCCCCACAAACTTCCTACTCTGGCCCTTTGTTTCTTGGCACCCCTCATGTTCCCTTAACCACCAAAATTCACTTAGCATCTGGAATTCTTAGTAATAGTAATCACAAAAGCCACCATTTACTGAGGGTTTTTAAAGTACCAGGCATAGACAATGGAGGTAACTGAGGCTTAGATATGTTACATCAATCTGTCCAACGTCACATAAATATTAAGGTACAGATCAGTATATCTAATAGAAATGTAATTTGAGCCATGTTGGTAATTAAAATTTTCTATTAGCCAAATTAAACGAGAAGAGAAACAGGTGAAATTAATTTTATCAATATTTTTTTATTCAACAATATATGCTAAGTGTCTATCAACAGACAAATGGGTAAAGAAGATGTGGTATATATATACAATGGAATACTACTCAGCCATAAAATAGAGTGAAATTTTGCCTTTTGCAACAACATGAGCAGACCTCAAGGGTATTATGCCTAGTGAAATAAGTCAGAGAGAGGAAGACAAATACTGTCTGACAGGGGTCCCCAACCCCCGGTCCTCGGACTGGTACCAGTCCACATCCTGTTAGGAACTGGGCTGCACAGCAGGAGGTAAGCGGCAGACAAGTGAGTGAAGCTTCATCTGCTGCTCCCCACCGCTCCCCATTGCTCCCCACCACTCCCCACCGCTCCCCACCACTCCCCACCGCTCCCCATCACTTGCATTACCGCCTGAACCATCCCTCCCACCACCCAACCCCCGTCCGTGGAAAAATTGTCTTCCACGAAACCCATCCCTGGTGCCAAAAAGGTTGGGGACTCCTGCTGTATGATATCACTTACATGTGGAATCAAAAAAGTACAACAAACTACTGAATATAACAAAAAAGAAGCAGACTCACAGATATAGAGGGCAAACTAGTGGTTACCAGTGGGGAGAGCGGGGGGGAGTGGCAATTTAGGGGTAGGGGATTAAGAGGTGCAAGCTACTATGTATAAAATAAGCTAAAAGGATAAATCATACAACCCAGGGAATATAGCCAGTATTTTATAATAGCTATAAATGGAGTATAACCTTTAAAAATTGTGAATCACTATATTGTACACCTGTAACTTATATAATATTGTACATCAACTATAACTCAATAAAAAAATAAGGCACTTGGGAATTCCCTGGCAGTCCAGTGATTAGGGCTCCGTGCTTCCACTGCAGGGGCCACGGATTCGATCCCTGGTGGGGGAACTAAGATCCCGCATGCTGTGTGGCCAAAAAAATAAATAAATAAAGCACGTTACAGATTTTTTTAAAAAGGGGAAAAAAAAGATCCAAAACATTATTCCAACATGTCATCAATATATAAGATTACCAAAGAGATATTTATAGTCTTTCTCTCATAATAAGTCTTTGAAATCTGCTGTGTGTTTTACTCTTACATCTCATCTCAGTTTAGACTAGCCACATATCACATGTTCAACAGCCATTTGTGGTCAGTGGCTACTGTATTGAACAATGAAAGTATAGATCAAGGATTCTGAGCCACCTCCGCTTGGCTTCATTGTCGCCTTTCTAAGGATGGTGAGGAGTGGGGCAGCCACATTCTCTGTGAAAGCAGGCTGATCCTGTCCCCCAAGATTCAGGACTGAAAAAGATAATAATCTTATCTAATTGGGAGTAAGATTTCATTATAAATGAGAATAAAGGGTCTCCAAATGCTACAGAGGTCCAAAATTTATTAGACTCTTTAAAAAAGCATTTGTCAGAGAAGCTGACATTTCCCTCTTGGAACTGTTACTTCTGGCATGGGACAGGAATGTTTATTCCTTTCTGCAGGTCCCTGTTATTGTTCTTTTATCTCCATAAACACTGTCCAGGAAAAGTGGATTTTCTCTGGCCTGGAGCCAGGTTGGTGGAAAAATCCTTTGCCCTGGGCCCTCTCTCTTGTCCATAGGGCAGTCGAATGACCGTTTCTGATAGGGCTCACCAACCGACATGGTGGCCTCGGAAGGGACGTGCAGGATTGTTGAACTCTGGAAGGAAAGGAGGGTTGGTGAGCCATCATTCCCTGATTGGAGCAGTGGGCAGCCCTTTGTTCCAGGCACTGTACTAGGCACATGGCATGTGCTATCCTTTTACTCCTCACCACCACCCTATGAGGTAAGCATCAGCACTTGCAAAACCCAGGCAGGTGAAAATGTTCACTCAGGATGTGCAGCTTTCCAACACCAGAGCCCAGGATTACAGCATTCCAGACTTTGGGGGTTTCAATGCTTTCTGCACTAAAACAGACATGGAACAAGGGTTGTCCAGAAAGAAATGTTCATATCTGTGTTCTGTTTCCATGTGAACAAGGTCTGGCAGGGTGCTTAGGGTTGATTTCAGTCTCTAAGAATTGGGGGTGAGAGACTCAGAACATAAAAAAAGGAGATGGGGGACTTCCCTGGCGGTCCAGTGGTTAAGTCTCCACGCTTCCACTGCAGGGACCACGGGTTCCATCCCTGGTCAGGGAACTAAGATCCCCGGCATGCCGCGTGGTGCAGCCAAAAAATAATAATAATAATAATAAAAATAAAAAAAGGAGACGGCTGCCCTTTCTATATCAGGAAACCTAGGAGGACTGCTTGATCGTTCTTTTCTTGTTCCTGACAAGTTAGAAGAAATGTGGTGCCGAGGAGCCCTGTCGCTTTAAGCCCAAGCCCCGGTTTCCCAGGAGACTTGGGAGGGCAGTGGAGAGTGCCCGCCTACCTGGGGAACCTGCGCGAGGTGTGGCCGGGGAGGCTCGGGATGCGAGGGGGCGGGGCAGGCTGAAAGTTGGACAAGCAGGAAGTGAACCGACGGCTGCCCGAGAGGAAACAGAGTAGGCGAGAGTCCTGCTGCCGACAGGCCCGAGCCGCTCGGAAACATGGTGAGTGAGCGGGAAACTAAGAAGGGGCTGATTTCACGAGCAGCCAGAGGGGGCTGGGGCCTGGGGATCAGCAAAGGAAAGCTGGTGGCATAATCTGAGGGCTGGGCCAGCGCTGACTGTGACCTCTCTTCTTTGACAGCTGGGCTCCAAATAGGTCTGAGCTGCCTGGGCGGGTGTTCCTGCTCTCCTCTGCCCCCTCCCTCCCCTGAGCCCTGAGCTGGCCAGGAGTGGAGCTTCGGTGGGAGTGTGAGATCCTAATTCATCTCCTCTTCCAGCCCTCCGGCCTTCGGGTGTTGTGACATTCCTGGGCAGTGCCCCTGCCGTTCCCAGCGCAGATTCCAGCCCAGCGGCAGGAATCCCACTCTGCCTCTCGCTTTATCCCTGTACAGAAACCCAAAGAATTTGGCTCTCCGTCGAGTCCAAGGAATCTGCCCCCTCTCCATAAACGTGAGGAAGAGAGCTGACGGTTTGTAAAGAAAAAAAAAAAAGTCAGAAGTTGGTTCTCTGTGATAATCTAGTTTGGACCCACGCCCCTGGCTTGTGTCTGGAAGTCCAGTGGGTCAGGGAGGGAGGAGCTTAGTAGTGTTTTTCCCTCCCTGTTCAAAAACCTTATCAGAAAGCCTGAGGATGAGGGCATCAGCCAGGGAGGACTTGCCCTCCATTTCCCCCAACACCCAGGCTGCTGTTTGTATGTTTCATACTTGCTTAAGTAGGCAATGGCGTGGTGCCTGCGCGAGGTGCTTAGTGGTGGGGAAAGCAGAAGTTTGTGGCCCAACGGCTGTCTCTCGTGGGGCCTTGTGAGGGACTTGGAGCCTGGTTGCCGTGGCTCAGGCTGCCCAGGAGGCCGGAGCAGCTCTCCAGCTGCTGTCTTGAAGAGAGGGCGGGTTAGGCTAGGCGAGGGTGGTCTGCGGGGGGAGGGGCACAGGCATTTTTAATGAGGGCCGGTGGGATCTGGGAATTCACAGGTAATGGTGGGGCTGTGCCTTGTGAGGTGCTGGCTCAGCGGTCTCCTCGGACCCTCTCCGAGGAACAAGGAAGCAGTGGAGAGGGCTTTGGGGGTGTGCTTCTTGTCGTCTCACGTGCCCTGAGAACCCACAAAGAAGTTGGATCCAGTCTGTCTCCTAGCATGGCTCTCACCATCTGGGGCTTAAAAATGCATTTGTTTTTGATTACACAAGTACTACAAGGAAAACGTTCTCTTTGCAAACAGTTCAAGCATTACAAAAAGCTAAGTCCACCTTAGGCCTCCCTCTCCTCTGGCCTCTGAGGCTGAGTCTCAGTCCCTCCGGCACTCGGCCTAATTAACCCCTGTGTGGCTGCCCAGGAGGAGGCCAGTGGTGGTGGAGGAGGTGACCGTGTGCGAAACCTGCAGAGTGAAGTGGAGGGAGTCAAGAATATTATGACCCAGAATGTGGAGCGGATCCTGGCCCGGGGAGAAAACTTGGACCATCTCCGTAACAAGACAGAGGATCTGGAAGCCACAGTGAGATGATGGGGAGCCCAGTGGGGGCCAGGGGAAGAGGGGAGAGGAGGATTATTGGGGGCTTGAGGCTTGGTGGTCTTGGTGGCAGAATGATCAGGAGGGAAGTCTGCCTTTTTACCTGTGTTGGGAATTGTTGTGAGCTGAATCCCCACTTCTGATTCTGTTCTGCTCCACTGATTGGTACTGGGGTCCAGGGGATGGGTTCAAGGACTGGGGCTGGGGATGCGGGGGTGGACCCATGGAGACATTTTGTGAGACTGATAGATGGCTCAGTCAGCCTGTGCTGTCTTAGGCTTCTGTGCTATGAAATCGACTTTCCCTTTGAAGGCTGCCCTTGACAGTCATTTGGACCTGGCTTCCCCAGGACAAAAATATTGGCTCCAGAAAATCCTCTTAGGGCCTTTGGCCTTCCCCAGGAGTTATTAGGCAGGGGGTGGAAAACTGTTAGAGTTTTGCTGAGCCAGCTTTAAAAAGAAGCTGGGAAGAATAGTAAAAGTCTTTGATCCCAGGATCCTCTGCTGGCTGAAGGCTGGAATAATATCTCCCACACATCTTGCTAGATCTCATTCTTCTCTCCCTCCAGCCAGAGGCTGAAGCCAGCTGCTCAGGGAGGGAGTAACTCTAAAGTTCAACAGAGGGCTGGAGACTAAGATTCCGTGTCCATGGAGAGAGACTGGCCATGGCTTTCTGAGTCCTGTGTGTAATCTTGAGCATAGCTCATTTGACTCCCTGGGACTTAGTGTTTCTTTCCACAGCCCAGGCTGGGAAGCATGGCCCAGGGAAACAATTTCTGCTCTTCGAGTTGGGAGAGGAAGAGCATTTTCCCTCAGTTCCAACCCCTGGACTGCCCTGGCCCCTCCTCCAGCTTCAGCGGTCCTCATGTGGCCAGAAGTTATGGAACCAGGGAGATGTATCCACCTGGAGCCTGCTCCCCTCAGCCCTAGTGTCTGCCCTCCCAAGGGTGGGTTGTGCTGCCAGTCTCACAACCCTGGGTGTGAGCATGCGTCAGAGGCCCCTCAGTGTGCATGGCAGTGCGGGGGTAAGAAGAGAAGGGGGCGGGCAGGGGACCAGAGGGAGCCCAAGAATTCTAAATTTGAATTGGTTCACCAGATGGTTGTGAAGGTACATTTGTCAAGGTAGGAGGACAGAACTATTTTATTTAGCAGTCTGTTACCTCAACATAGCACTTAAACGTTTAGATGTATGGTGTGTGGGTCTCGGTATGCTCATCCCAGCGTCTGGAGGCACTGGGTGATTCTGCCTTATTCCCAACAGTCCGAGCACTTCAAGACCACATCGCAGAAGGTGGCTCGGAAGTTCTGGTGGAAGAATGTGAAGATGATCGTCCTCATCTGCGTGATTGTTTTTATCATCGTCCTCTTCATCGTGCTCTTTGCCACGGGTGCCATCCCTTAAGTAACTTAGGGAACCCCTCCCACCCTGCCCTCTTCTTTGGGGGCAGCCTTCCACAGTGGGTGCCAAGAGGCGCCCTCTCTCCTGTACTTCTCCACAGGGAACGCTGCCCCAGCCTCCCGCCCCTCATTCTGGGGCCCCTCTACCACACTGTCTGCCCCAGGGAGCACCTTGGTCCCCAGAAGGAGAGAGCTGGGCTGTGGCTGTGTTTCAGGGGTCCTCAGAGTTGGTTGGAGAGACCCGGAAGGGCCAGCACATGGCTGGGAAACTGATGGAACTGAGGGTGGCCAGTGGGCAATAAAGACCTTTCAGTATCCCTATGCATGTGAGGTACTTTCTCCCTTTCCATTTTGCCTTTGGCCCTTCCATGTCTTTTCTCCCCAAGGACGCCCTCTGGCAGAGATCCTCCCATTGGAGGCCCAAGCTGTTGGAGGGGTGGAGAGCATATGTTTGGAAAAGAAAGAAGGAAACTCTCTGTCTTTCTTTATCTCCCCTTGTTCCATCACTGTCACTGGTCTCAAGAACAGGAATTTTCTGGAGGTCTTGGCGTATGGAAAATTCAAAACCTTCCCAGCACTTTAGGGTAGTATGTAAGACTCTGAAGTGTCCCCTCTGGGTCCTGCCATTTCCTTTATTAGTTTTCTGCTGGAAGTGTCTAGCCGAGACATGAAGCCTACTTGGGCAGAGCATTTAGGAATCTGGTTAAGGGCCTCCCACCCCTCCCATCATTGCCATTTCTCTTTGGTGGCCCTGTTGTAGTCTTAGAGTGAGGGGGTTAGAGGAACTGAACTGCTTTTCCTTCTCTTGTGGTTCTGCGAGTTCTATTTGTCTTTTGTCTGCCCCTGTCCTTCTGGAACTTAGCAGGGCCTCTGGGTCTCAGCTGTCCTGAGGGGGTGAGCATCTCTCACCCGTGTCTCGTGGCTGGGCACAGTCAGTGTCACAGGACAGGGCCTATGGCCTTCCTTCCCCTCCATGGACAATGGACCTCTCTGTCTTTGGGCCTCCCTCCTCTCTACCAGGTTCCACCATCATTGTCTCTCTTTCCAGTGCCCAGTGCGCCTTGGTTTGGGGGAAGGGTTTATGTCATCTCTGTCCCCCATAGGCTTTCCAGAATTGAAAAGAACCTGATTTGGGGAGGGAATCTGGAAGGGGCGGGGTTGGGAAACAGGACTGGGGACTAGTACTGGCAAATCAGGTTCTAGAATCATGCTCCGGGGACTTCCCCGGCGGTCCAGTGGTTAAGACTCCACACTTCAATGCAGGGGCGTGGGTTTGATCCCTGGTTAGGGAATTAGGATCCCACATGCTGTGCAGTGCGGCCAAAAAAAAAAAAAATGGAATCATGCCCCGAAAACTAGGAAGGGAGGAAAGCACAGAAGAGACCCTGGGGGAAGACTTTGTCAGGACCCTGTCCATCCTCTCTCTTCTCAGTCCACTCCTGGACTCGAGGTCCAAGCAACTGGGGTGATTGGGACCTAGTCTGTCCAGGCTGGGGGTGGGGTCTGTGCTCACATGGGGCTCAACGTGGGAGAGGGAAGCCCCCAACCACCTTCCTCAAGAGGGGCCACCTTTGAGATGTTGGGATGGTATGGGGTGGGATAGAGAACAGGTGGCTGGTGCTTTCTCTGCAGCAGTGAAAGGGCAGGCTGAGGATGGATAGACTCAGCTCAGGAAGGCTCTGGACAGGTTAGACACACCAGCCTCCCTCATCCTGCAGCTGAGGAAGCGGGTCATATCAGGACAGGGCTGCACTTGCCCACATGGTGAAGGGGAAAGAAAGAAAAAGCTAGAGCTAGCACCTTCTCCATGGGGGTCTGTTTTCTCTTTTTTTTCGGGGGGGGGAGCGTTACGCGGGCCTCTCACTGTTGTGGCCTCTCCCGTTGCGGAGCACAGGCTCCGGACGCGCAGGCTCAGTGGCCATGGCTCACGGGCCTAGCCGCTCCGCAGCATGTGGTATCATCCCGGACCGGGGCACGAACCCGTGTCCCCTGCATTGGCAGGCAGACTCTCAACCACTGTGCCACCAGGGAAGCCCTGTTTTCTCTTTTAATTGAGGTGAAATTCGCAAAACATACAACTGACCATTTTAAAATGTACCCTCCAGTGGCAGGTAGTGCACTCATGATATTTATTGTGAATAAACTTTATTTAGTTTCAAAACTTTGGCGTGGTCGGTTTTTTGGTTATGGGTGAGTTGCAGTCACCAAGGTGGCAAAGACCCTGTACAGCTGTTCACTGCGTTTCCTGCGCCTAGCACAGTGCAGGACAATGGCGCTCCTACAGGTGCTTGTTGAATGAATAAATGATTCCTCCCCAGATCAACCCCGTCTTCCTGAGCTGGGATGCAGTTCCAGAGAGGATTCCCTGAGCCCGTTCCAGAGCCCACTCCACTGGGACTCCACTGGGACCATTTCATAGACTGGGGTCCCGAGCTGTAGACCAGGCACCACGCTGATTGGGCGGAGGCCCCACTTCACCAGGCTGGGGAGTCATCCCGAGCCGGGCGCCGGCTGCCCGGGGAGAGGTTACGAACTGGGATGCCGGGAGCCATCGCCGGCCGCTTCCGATTTGACTGATTTGACTTGGTTTCGGTCGCCGCTCGAGAAGGCTCGCCCCCCGCCCCCGCCAGGCAGGCCCCGCCCCGCCCTCCGCTTCCTTCCAGATCCCTGGCACTGCGGCCGCTCGGGCAGAGGAGCCGGAGCGGCGAGGCAGCGGCAGCGGCGGCGGCGATGGTGAGGGGCCGGGGCCGGGGCAGAGGGCGAGCGTGGGGGGGTGCGAGGCGGGAGTCCGAAGTCCAAGCGCGGGGGCGTCCTTCGGGACGGCGCCCGGAAGCAGGACCGGGGCCGGACCCTCAGCTCGTCGCGCGCATCGCGGGAGGGAAAGGGCGGCGTGCGAGGGTCCCGGCTGCCCAGCGCCGAGTGAGCTGGACTCCGGCTTCCCACTTGCCGGGGCCAAGCGGTTACGAGCACCAGCTTCGGAGTCAGACTCCGGGCCGAGATCCTGGTGGTGGCCACTTACCCGCTCTGTGACCCTGGGCAAGTCACTTAGCTTCCCTGAGCCTCTTTTTCCGCATCGTGAAGTGGGGTCAGCGATACCCGCCTTGCTGGGTCCTTAGGAGGTTAGAGGAGGTACAATGGCAGAGACCTGCCTGGCCCTCAGAACCTGCTCCTGAGAAGTGGTGGGTAATATGGTGACCTCATCAGCCCTTCCTGGAGCTGTGAGGACACAAGTCTGGCCCAGGGGGTGGAAACCTGAGCCGATGGGGTGGTAGAAGCCAGTCCTGTGGCAGGGTGTTGGAGGGCAAACTCCTTCCCCTGGGGACAGAGAAAGTAAGATGTTTACTATAAAAGTTCCACTGAAGTTATCAGAGTGTGGCATAGCCTGACTCCCTTCTAAGCCGTACCTAGGGACACATTTTTGAGTTGAGTCATCCCCCACTCCTGCTGTAGACTCTGGCCTCTGTCCCCACTTGTCATTTCCAGGCAAAGGTGTCAGGAGCAGTTGGTGCTAGTCGATTCTCCCCTCCCCTGAAACTCCTGGGAAGTTGTGCCCGGCAGGAAGCAGGCTTGGTGCTTTAAGAAAGTCCCCAGGGACTTTCCTGGGGATCCAGTTGTTAAAACTCTGCCCTCCCAATGCAGGGGGCACAGGTTCGATCCTTGGTCAGGGAACTAAGATCCCACATGGCACAGCCAAAAAGAAAAAAAAGAAAAAAACAAGATACTGCCATGAAAAAAAAGATTCCGCCATGGAGAAGGCAGCAGAGGTGTGATGGATGTGGATGTGGCCTGGCTGGGGGTCGAGATGCCTGGATGGCCTCATCTCCAGGGAACTGGAGGCAGGAAGAGGAAGCGGGGCAGGAAGGTAGCACTGAGCTCTACGGCCAGGCCAGGAAACTGAGGGAGGCCCAGGGAATGGGACGGAGCCCAGAGCCCACTTACCAGCGTGCAGAGCAAGGAATCAGGCAGGGTTAGGATGGGCTTGCGGCTGGCCCTTAGCGCTTGGTGAGAAGGCTGAGGCTGTGATAATTTACTGGGGTTTACTGGGAAACTCTGGGACTCTCACAGGTTCATCTGAGGCAAATAGTGGATCTGAGCCTGGGGATTGATCTCTCTCTCCCAACCATCTCCTAGCCCCTTCCCTCTGTTTTTTCTCTTATTCCTGCCCCTTTGTCCACCCCCAGCACTTTCCCTTCCTTCTTCCCATCCGCCTTCCCTACCTGGTCCTTCTTTCTTTCCCTTCTTTTCTGATTCATTCAGTTAACAAGTGTTTCTTGTGCATTTCCTTTGTGCCAGTCATGGTGACTGGTATAGGGGATAGAGTAGGAACAAAATAGTGATGGGAAAGATAGAAATTGAATGGGTAATGAATTCATTCATCTTGTAGATGGTCCTCACTCATGCACTGTGCAAAGAATTTGGATTTTGAGCCACAGGCCTCCCTCATATGCACACAAGTTGAGTTGGCAGCATCAAACTTGGTGAGTCTTTAGCCAGCCAGCTAAAGCATTTGACCTCCCTTTACCCGCATCCAGTTTAACACAGGGGTTAAGAATGTGATCCTTGGAGACTAAGTTTGGTCAACTCCCAGATCTTCTGTTCACTGGCTCTGTGACCTTGGATGGGTGATTTAACCCCTCTGAGCCTCAGTTTTGTATAAAACTGGGGTGAGAGTACTTTCCTCGGTGGATTGTTGTGAGGCTTAAATGAGATAAAGTGAACAGAGAGCTAGCAGCACAGTTCTCAGCTCAGAATATGTGCTCATTGAGTGGGAGCTATTATTACTGTCAAGAGGTAAAACCTTCTCAACAGCCTGTAGCGCCTGATGGAAATAAAATAGATATAGGTTATCAAAGGCCCATGTCAAGTTTTATATTTAGGTTAGAAACGATTAAGTGCACAAGGTGGCAACAGGGAAGAGCTTGCTTGGCTGTGTATTTTGTAAAAATATTTAAGAGTTTTTATTGACCACAGGTGTGGTTCCTGGGATCTGACAGCTAAAAAAGAAAACTAGGGAAACTTGGGCTACCGCAATAATAGCTATTATTTATTGAGCATTTAGTATGTGTCAGGACTTGTGCTAAGCACTTTATTTATAACATGCCACATGCCTTAGCTAATGTTATGGGAGATATTATTGTCACCACTTTATAGATGAGGAAGCAGAGGGGTCAGAAAGGGCATATCCCCAGTCTTTAGTCACTCAGCTGGTGAGTGGCAGAGGCAGGATTTGAAGGAACCCAGGGCTGTAATGCAGAGCCCGGCTCTTAGGCTCTGAGCTCAGGCGAGCACTGACCCAGGAAGGAGGTGATACACCAGGTT